ATCAAAACTCCAACTGTCTTCAAGGCAAGGCCACCTGTCTTACTTGCAGGTTATTGGCCCCTTTCCAGGTGTGGTTATGTAGACCTGGCTTATATATTTAATGTTATATAGATCTAGTTCCTTTTACTTATTCGATGGATTAAGCATACTTATTTCTGAAACCCAGTACTAGGTGAGGAAGACAATGAGGAAGAGAAGAAGTAGAAAGAAGAGGCAGCAGTGGGAAAGGTGGAAGAAGAGGGTGTCAAAAAGCTGAGAGAGGAAGAAGAGGAGGCAGAAGGGTAACAAATAAGCTGATAAAGCTGTAGGTGGAGCTTCCCTATCCTGTAGGTGCTCTCCAATAAACACAGTGAGGCTTGTATTAATTACAAATGCTCAGCCAATAGCTCAGGCTTATTACTAACTAGTTCCTATATTTTAAGTTAGCTCATATCCCTTATTTATGCTCTACCATGTGGTAGTACCTTTATTAGCATAACATGTTTATCTCTTGCTCCCTCTGCATCTGGCTGACTACTCCCCTTTTCCTCCCAGCAGTCTCTTTGTCTGGTTTTTCCACCTAATCTCCTCCTGCCCAGCTAAAGGCCAGTCAGCTCTTTATTAGCCAACGAGAGTAATACATATTCAAAGTGTACAAAAAGATTGTTCCATAGCATAAGGCTGAGAAAGGAAGGGAAATGTCCCACCCCAAGAATACACAGTGCCACAAGTGGCCCCCCTATGCCAGACTGTGGTTACTGGTGATGGTGATGTATCAATATAGCTTCATTATTCTAATCAAGTGTGCTGCTATATGGCGCTTCTGACCATCGGGGAGGCTGACTCCGTGGAAAGTGGGAGTATGTGGGTGATCTCTCTCTACTCTTAGTTCTGTGGTGGGTTTAAAACTTTTCTACAGCCGGGTGGTGGTGGCACATGCCTTTAATCCCAGCACTCGGGAGGCAGAGGCAGGCGAATCTCTGTGAGTTCGAGGCCAGCCTGGTCTACAAGAGCTAGTTCCAGGACAGGAACCAAAAAGCTATGGAGAAACCCTGTCTCGAAAAAACAAACAAACAAACAAACAAACAAACAAGCAAACAAACAAAAACTTCTCTACAAAATCAAGTCCATTTCAGAATGACTCTAGAGATGTACGGGAACTGTGGATGGGAAGAAAACCATGGAAGACAGCTGGAAGAGAGAGGGATTCTAAGAGAAGACATGGCATGCATTACAACCACCCAACACACTGCAGCGGCTGGAGGATCTGGTCTGCGGGGGAACCATGTTGGAAAGACTTTGGCACCACACTGGACAACCAGATGTGCTACACAGGGGAAGCTTTTCATTTCCCATGAATGCAAAATAGAGTAGGCAACCTAAAGTAAAACTGACTGGCATCTCTCTGTGCTTTTGGGATTGTTGATTATTCATTTAGATAGAACTTTCTAGAGCTTGGTCACTCTGTCCTCCTCCAACTCAAGTTCTTGCATATTTGGGTTTTTCTTCATGATCACCATCTCATCTACACATACAGCAGTTCGTGGAGAAACAAGGTTTTGAGACACACTCATTCATTATTAGTGGAAGATAGACTATGGGCAGATTATCAAGTACCACCCGGGGCACATATTTTTTGGATTCTGGACCTAAAGCGTTCAATGACAGAAATCACACTGGTCCTCACTGCGAATCAGACCCAATATTCCATTACAGACACTGAGCCCCTAGCATCGCCCGTGGTAATCTCCACATGGATTTAGCTGCATTATGTTCGGGCCTCACTTAAAAATATGCTTCTTCACTTCATGTGACTCCTAGAGCATGAAGCAGCTCCTACATAGAGCACAGTCAGCTTGAAACAAAATAAGCACACATTTATCAAAAATTGTTGTGACTATGTTGAAATACTTGGCCAATGTGTCTGGCAAGTTCACAGTCTATAGTCATAATTCCACATGACTTCTGTACTTCTCTCCTCTTAGCCGTGATTGGAGGAAGGAGTGCCGGAGATAGAGTGGCAAGTTCACAGTCTGTAGGCACAGTAGCACATGGCCCCTGTCCCCTCCCTTCATAGCACGGCTGGATGAGGGCATGAGATAGAAACACTGTGCGTTTAGTCCGTGTTAGAGGAACATATATCCCCCATGGTGAGTCCCGTTTACAGATCTGCATGCAGTGGATAAGGCAAGGATAGAACATCTGGGTTTGACTCTAAGTTTCTTCTTTTACCGCCAATGACAGTTTGTTCGAATCACTCAGCTCCACTCTGTTTGAGGTTTATCAAACCTAGGAGGGGGGTGGTGATACTACAACATATTGTTGAAAGAATTTCAGGCCACAATACACGAGAAGTGTTTGGCTCACAGACTGGCAGACTGTAATCACTAAAACCTATCACTGATTCCTATTCTTCCAGGGTTACAATCCTTCTTGTTTTCACCAATTACTACCAAAAATTGGAAAAATACAAGATGGGATGGGCTCTTGAGATGAATGTTAAGAAGTGGGGCTGCCAAGAAAAGATAGGTTGTTTTATTGCCATGGAGAAAGAAAACAGCCACCAGGGCTGGGTTCCTACCTGTCTAATGAGGCAATGATTGTTCTATAGCCACGATAAGAAGCCAAGCTCAGGACTGGATTTAAATCTAATTGAGCAATGACAACTTGCCTCAGTGAACATGTCCCCGAAGGCTAATCAATTAGAAATAACCTCATACATTGAAAGCCACCCAGCTGGCAGCAGACTGACTTCAGGGAGCAGCGTGCTTCTGCTTCTGATACTGAACTTCTGCTATCTCTGTAAATTATTAACGAGGCTTCCAAGACGACAGCGGTCTCATCCTCGGCTGCAAGGAATACAACACTTCGGTAACTAACACAGAATGCGATCCCATAGCTGACGTCACTCACTCTTGAAGTCCTAGAAGCACAACCCAAAGCAATCTTTCCCTAAGCAGAAATTTCAGGTTGCTGTGCTGAATGAGGCTACATCTGAACAACACAGCTCTTTTATTTTGCTTAAGCCAGCAAAGTTCAGCTTTGACTTAAGAGTCAAGCATGGGTTCCACTTTCTTAGAACTAACATAAATTCGAAGGCCCTCGCTTTTTAGGCTAAGCTGTGATTTTCAGGCTTCTCTTTACCCCCAGCCTCTGGTCCAAGATTCCTGGATTTTTCAATCTGCTCCCACTGTGCTCTCGTGACATAACGGGCGTTATCTAGGATTTGTCTCTGCGTAGCTGTGGCGTGGGAGCTGCTCAGATGTGTAGGTTTGACGCTGCAGTCTTTGGCAATGGCTTCTTGTCAGTGACATGCTTACCTCAGCCCTTTGTTTTTGCTTCTCATGTCTCTCTCTGTGTAGACTTCTGGGCTGTGGATTGTGTGTGTTGTGAATGAGTTGTCTGTGCTGGTGAACCCAATCAGAGAGCGCTTGGCAGAGAACGGCTGGGGTACTAGGTGGACAGCCCAACAGTCACCTGAGCCTCCTGGAAACTGTGAGGACTGGCCAGCCATCAGGCTGGAGGTGAACCAACCCACGTAACCCCGCATGCTTTGTTTCTTCCTTGAGTTCATGACAGCATGCATTATCTCGACATTCTGTGGAAGAGGTCGGCACACACTTGATGCTGTGTAAGTAACTGCGGGTCAGCCTCTGCATGGTTTCTTCCCACCTCTACCTGGGTAGTAGCAGCAAGTTTGTTCCATAAGAAAAGGCACCGAGGTTCTTTCCTGCTCCTTGTGGGCATGAGAGTGTAGAACAGATTGTTTTCCTGTAAACACTCTTGTGGATTCCTAATATTCCCTGTCACTGTACTTTCCTCAGAGAGTGATCTAAAATTATAAAAATTCTCATTTTTAGGAAACATGATAATTCAGTTCATACTTTTCTGTGTGCATGTACATATGTGTTTGTGTCTGTGGGAGCATTCTGTGTGTGTGTGTGTGTGTGTCTGCGTGCACATAGGCGGAGATAAGAGGACACCTTGAATGTCCTCCCTAGGAACACTGTCCACCTCCTTTGAGACAGAGCTTCTCATTGGCCTGAATATCACCAATTAGGCTAGAATGACTGGTCATTAAACTCCAGAGTTCCTCCTGCCTCTTCTCCCCAGCACCAGGAATATAACATGGGTCACAAAACCTAGCATTTTTATGTGGTTTCTGGGGGGGGGGAGTCAAACACAAACCCTTGCACTTGTTTTATTGACTGGGCCAATGATTATTATGTTTGGAAGTCATAATTAATAATACCAAATATCCAACTTCGGTTGATACTCAAGACATAAACATGATGCCTGGTTTCGTAGTACATAGGAGATGGTCTCGCTCTCTTTATTGGATTCTGAAGCTGTCCTTCTTGGTGTTTCTCTCCACTGTTCCCCCACTACACACTGATGTCTCTTCACCAACTCCCATGGTCTCTCGCAGATGTTATCTGTCCCCGGGCAAAAGATGAGCAGAACTGGGACACTCATCAGTAGCAGCTGAGGATGCGGTCCCAGCTCTGATCTTCTGAGGTCCAGAAAGTTTTCTTTTTATAGTTTTAGAAAATTAGAAGAATTTGCATCAAAATTCATAATTGTCTTAGGACTTATTGTTTGTGTTGGACAGGAAAAAGGCCGTCCTCTCTGGGGAGAAAAATGTAACAGAAGTGAGATGAGAACACAGAAAAGGTATTTAACCTAGCCAGGCATGAGCTGAAGACTATGCTGGACATTTCATAAGGGCATTTTAACAATTCTTTGACTTATACTATAAGGTTTACAGTATATTGAACAGAGACCAAAATTACTAAGAAAAGAATCAAGAGGAAATAGTATAATTAAACTTTAGGTCTCCAGTATTATTCTGGGGTAGATACAAAAAAAAAAAAAAAAACAAAAAAAAAAAACCCGAACAGATGCTTTTCTATCTTGTAAAAGTCAGTGTTAGCCTAAAATTGCAGTAGAAATACTGAGATGACTCAGTCTGCTTGAGAATTCTTGCCACATTGAACTACTAACCCACAAAATGGAAGCAAGGCCTAAAACAGAAGTCTTTTGTAGCCCTGACTGGAGAGCCTATAGCTTCATAATGCTGAACAGAGGGAAGCTGCTGTCCTGTGTCCTCTGACTGACTGCTGGGCCCTGAGCTTGGTGAGGACCAGTGAGAATCCAAAGCCAAGGCCACAAGAAGAAAGAGCTATTGTCATTGTTAAAAAGCAGAAGATGATGATCTGACTGCCCAGAGATGTTATTTCAAGGTAAGAACTGGTGCTCAACCACTCTCCAGTGTCCCTCTCAACTTCCAAAGGCAATGTCTGTAGACAGACATGGGTGTCAATGAATATTTCCCATTTCTAGGGCATCCTATAGTTTCCACTCCTTACAACAGTACCTCCTAGCATAACTTTTAAAATTCCTAAATAATTTCAAAATCTCTATGATAAAGTTGATTGACTGGTAATAATATTAAATGTCAATAAACATGGTTTTGCTTAAAATAAGAATGCCTGGCAAGGTCAAAGGATAGTAGTTGATAGCCTTGACTGTGTAAAGGGAGTGGTGAAGTCTTCAGGGGAGGTGAACATTTGGGTCTGCCTCAGTTTCCTTGAACCATCCAAATTCTGGAAATGTCTACAATCTCAAATCATTGCTGTAATAAGGCTACTTAATCCCTAGTCCCCACAAACTTAATGGCAAGTAGAATATACCGGCCCAATGGGAACACAAGGTTAAATCTACCATTGAGGGATTATATATGCACTTACATCATGGATGAATTTGACAAGAGTAGACCTATAAAAGGGCAAGGTTTCAGAAGTGACCAAGAAAGATGAGCTGACCCCAGAATCCTGACATGCAGAAAATGCATATGGATCTACATGAAGCCAGGTGTCTGGATATACTATTTAAAATCTTCTGTTGCACGTTCTTGAATATATTAGGCCAGGCTCTAGAAATATGAGATAAAACACATTTTCCGAATGTAAAGATGTAGGGGTTAATAAGATGGCCCAATCACATGCGTAGGAAAGCAGATCTATAACCCAAGTGTAGGAGGGATAGCAGGAAGATTGCTTATTTTCTCCGTGTCTTCCATCCCTTCTTGCTCTAACACTCCTTCTGCATCCTTTACTGAGGGGTTCCTGAGCCCTGAGGGGAGGGAATTGGGGGAGGCATCCCGTTTAGGACTAAGTGTTCCAAGGTCTCTCACTGTCTGCATAATTTCTGGCTCTGGGACTCACTCTCTGTTTAATGTCTGGCTGTGGGTCTCTGTATTTGTTTGGCTGGGTAATATCTTAAAGTTGGACAAATTAGGGAATTTTTTGAGCAGTTAAATTAAAACAAGTGCCTCTTTTAAAAAAAACATGGGCAAAAATTATTTTTTCAAATTTTTAACTTTTTATTCATTTTATATACCAACCATGGTTCCCCTTCACTTGATTCCTCCCACTGCCCCCTAGTCCTCCGCCCACCTGTCCTCCATCCATTCCTCAGAAAGGGTAAGGCCTCCCATGGGTAGTCAACAAAGCCTGGCACATTAGGTTGAGTTAAGAGCAAGCCCCTCCCCCTGCATCAAGACTGAGCAAGGCATCCCATCACAGGGAATGGGCTCCAAAAAAGCCACTTCATGCACCAGGGATAGATCTTGGTCCCACTGCCAGGGGCCTCTCAAACAGACCAAGCTGCACAACTGTTACCCACATCTAAAGGTCCTAGCTTGGTCTCATGCAGCCTCCTCAGCTGTCAGTCCAGCGTCAATCCCACTAGCTTGGTTCAGCTGTCTCTGTCAATTTCTCCATCATGATCTTGACCCCTTTCCTCATATAATCCTTCCTTCCTCTCTTTGACAGGACTCCTGAAGCTCAACTCAGTGCTTGACTATGGATCTCTGCATCTGCTTATATCAGTTACTGGATGAAGGCTCTATGATGACAATTAGGGTAGTCACCAATCTGATTACAAGGGAAGGCCAGTTCAGGCAGCATCTCCACTATTGTTAGGAAACTTAGTTGGGATCATTGTTGTGGATTCATGGGAATTTCCCAAGCACCAGGTTTCTCCCTAATTCCTTAATGGGTCTTTCTATCAAGATATTTCTTTCATTGCTCTCCCACTCCATCCTTCCCCCAACTTGACCATGCCATTCCCTCATGTTCTCATCCCTCATTTCCTCCCCTCCTGCCTCCAGTTTACCCAGGAGATCTCGCCCATTTCCCCTTCTCAGTGCCACCAATGGGTCCCACTTAGGGTCTTCCTTGTTACCCAACTTCTCTGGAGTTGTGGATTATACTCTGGTTATCCTTTGCTTTACATCTAGTATCCACTTATGAATAAATACATACCATGTTTGTCTTTCTGGGTCTGGGTTACCTCTCTCAGAATGATTTTTTTTCTAGTTCCATCCATTTGCCTGCAAATTTTATATCATTGTTTTTTTTTTTTTATAGCCAAGTAATGATGTGGAATGTCCTTCTATATATGTGTTGCTTTTATTGGTTAATGAATAAAACCACTTTGGTCTTTGTCAGGGCAGAATATAGCCAGGCTGGAAGAGATATACATAGAGAGAGTAAGAAGAGTCAGAGAAATGCCATGTAGCTGCCAAAGGAAAAGAACTCACAGGAACCATACAGGTAAGTCACAGTCTTGTGGCAATACACAGATTAATAGAACCAGTTTAATTCAAATGTAAGAGCAAGCTAGAAAGACACCTAAGCTATTGGCTGAACAGTGTTGTAAGTAATATAGTTTCTGTGTGATTATTTGGGTCTGGGTGACCAGGAGATAAACAAACAATCTCCATTTACAAATGGCACCTACCACTGGGGCATGGACACACATAAGGCTTGAGAAAGCTTAAGAAAAAAAAAGGAGAACTTCTAGACCCACAAAAAAAAGGAGCCAAGTTCAATTTCTTAATAGCCGTATTTTTTTCAGATAGTCTGTTTGCTGGCAGAGAACAGAGGTATGGTTCCTTTAATAAAAGGCTTCCTGATTCAGCATTAGCAGCAAAAACTGTATGACTTTTTTAAGGCATGGATTCCTAGTTCTTGCTGGTGGCACAAATTGTTCTGGCTCTTTTGAGAGATCTGGTTATGGAACACTTAAATGGAGTTTGTGAGCAGAGTGTTACACATTGCTTAATGGCAATATAGACCCGCTGTGTCCCTGGAGCTGAGGGGGTGAGCATAGCTCAAAGAGGCAGTGAACATACCTCTACCATGATAGACTGAGCAGAGCAAACAAGCAGGTCTGTGGAGTTGGCCCTAGCCATGCCCACTTAGCATTTTTTAAAAAGGTGCTCCTGGTCAGAAAATGATTACAGATACACAATAAAAACAGTCAGACAGAAATAAACCTCTGAATGGGTCATAGTGTGTTTAAAAAAAAATGTACATAGGCTTGGTGGAGAAAGAGAAAAAAAAAGAGTATACACAAAAGTATATACGCAAAAGACACCATAGATTAAAAGAGAAAAGATAATAAAATAAATATTAAAAAGAAATAAAGTTTTAAAGGGCCACATAAAGATGGAATATACACCAAGAGTCTAGATTGTGCAAATTATTATGTTTTCTTTAAATTTTTTGACAGTGAATAAGCTAAGTACAGAGTTACATTTCATTGTACAGACTGCTAAGCTAATCCAACATATATATATTTTAAAGGTATCTTGATTTCAAAAGTAGAGTCTAAGATTATGTTACTTTGAAAAATAGGTTCTGCTTTTGTTTCCACAGAAGATGAGAACCTGTGGATTCCTTCTAGGCTAATGTGGTTTGATGGAACAAGAGCCCCTGAAAGGTTTGTATGAACCCTAAAAACATACTTCATCCAACAAACAGCAGGGAGCAGTTTGGAGAAATCAATACCAAAATTCCAGAAATGATTGCTTAAAAATGTTTGTTTTCATTTAAAGGGGGATATAATATAGAAATGAATGCTTTGTATGGCTCTTGATCTATTGATACAAATTTACACTTTTTATATGTATTTCTGCTCTTGTTTATGGTATTTTGTGTGTGTAGCTCATTTAAAAAGATAGTGTATAATTAAGAAATATAGATTAATAGTCATCTATACTAGTAAAACTTGAAGTCATGTTAGTTAGGTTTTCTAGACATATAGAGATATATTTTAGTTAGATAGATAGTCTTCAACACTTCAAAGACCTATAGAATATGGCATTTAAAAAGTTATAAAAATTTAGATTTTTCTCAACAGTGAGACATGTCTGCTTTAGGTAGTACCAATCTACTTTAAGAGGTTGATAGACTTTGAAGAAACTTGTTTTGGAAGTTGCCTTCAATGTGACAGGGCTAGCCATTTGGGCAAGAAACTACTCTTTCCTGGAATGCTTTATGGTATGCTTTATGAACTGCATATATAGGACTCACAGAAAAAAGACTGATAAACCTACCAAAGGAGGTAAGACAGTCTTCGAAGGTTCCTACTTTGTGAAAGAGTCTACCAGACATTCTGCAGGACACAGAAGAAAGTAACTGACAAATTGCCAATAAAGGCTAAACAGTGTTTCAAGCTTCCTGCTTCATGAAAAAGTCTGCAAGATTGGGCCTGTAGGCTGAAGATGGATGCCCCAGTGTTACAGAAGAACTTTGGGTAACTGTACATGCAGCCAGATGTCTCTGTCAATTCTAGAATTTTAGAAGTTGCTTACAATGTACTTCCTGTTTACTTAGGTAATATCATATCATTCTGGAGTCTTTGAAGAGTGGAAGACAGATAGAGTTATAGTTTTCCTTAGTTATGATAAAGGATAGAGTATTTTACTTAATTTGCCGAATGTAAAAGAACTAAATATTGTAACTATAATTTTTGCTTGATAACTGTTTTATATATGAAACTTTATTATGTTAAAGTTAAATTCTTCATTTTTAGTTAGACAGAAAAGAGGAGATGATGTGGGATGTCCTTCTGTATGTGTTGCTTTTATTAGTTAATGAATAAATCTGCTTTGGCCTATGGCAGGGAAAAATACAGTCAGACTGGAAGAGATTTATAGAAAGAGTAGGCTGAGTCAGAGAAATGCCATATGTGTATAACACATAGAGGTAAAGAAATAAGAGTGAAGAGAATGGGAAAGGAAACCACTCACTGGGGACTCAGCACAGAAAATAAAATGTTCAAAGACTTTAAGACAAAAGGAAGTTTAGTAAAGTCAAGTGACTCTCAAGCAGTATGGACGCACATCTTTAACAACTCATGAATGAAATAATATAAAATAATTGTCATCTTAGAAGCATGGAGGAGGTATAATACTCTGTATAAGTTAACACAGCACAACAGACTGGAACATTGCAAGCTGAACAACTTTGGCTAAGACGAAGCTGTCATTCTGTATGGAGAGACATGTGACACTTGTGGATAAAAACCCTGCGGTAGAAATATGCGAGCTCTTCTCAACCATCCAAGAGATTCGTCAAACATTTCAACCCAAACCTGACCAGGCTTTGATTTTCCATTCCTAGAAAACTGCTAAAGGACTGAAATTTAAAGCAGTCAATCTGAACAACCAAGGAGCAACCTTGGGATTTTGGTAACTGATTTGTAAGGCTGTGTAGCCTGAGTTATCCGTCTGGGTGCTCTTGGTATTTTGGATTACATAGTTCTTGGCTATGGGGAACCACCCCAAATACTGTAGGTCAGCTGCCCCATCCTGCACCCACAAGGCCTGGAGCCTCCTCCAGACCCTATAGCCATGATAATTAAACATGGCTCCAGACATTGCAAAAGGCAACCTAGAGTGTACATCACCCCTTGAGAAGAATTGTGGCAGCAAAAATCCACAATCAAGGTAGTGTGCTAGTGAGGTTAAGTAAAGAATAAAGAACACTGGAATGAAATAGGCTAACACAGGGCCTAATGTTTTTCTTTTCTTTTTTTTTTTAAGCTCAGAAGAAGCCAGTATGATTAAAAGAGGAAAATAAGTTTCTCACAAATGGTTCTAGAAGAATTGGATATCCAAAAGGGGAAAAGATTTTCATTCTGACTTCTCGACTCATACAGAAATAGCTTAAAGTGAAAAGCAGCTCAAAGTAATCACACCAAGCTCTGCTCTTCTAGAAGAACACAGGTGAAAACATCAGCAACAATGGAACAAGCAAAGATTTTCTTTTAGATCCAACCACCAAATTATAAGAACCCAAAAGAAGGAAAGCTTCATGTGCTCTAGTCCGTGGAAGCTATTCATTTCTCTTCGTTTAAAGACGTGAATGAGAACCAAGAGTTCATGCCACCAGACTGGGAGAAAACATACACAGCACGTACAAATGACACGAGTTTACATCCCCCACATATGTGAGTGTGGGTGAAAAATACACAAGCAACCCCTAGGACCCAGCAAAAAGCGGCTCAGATTATTTTTTTGAATTATGAATTATGTACGTGATTCAAAAAGACAGGGCACCACAAGCCAAGGAGACTAATGCAATTACTATGATTTTGTTACACAATGAAATGTCCTAACACGTTCTAGAATGGCAAAAATTAAAGTCATTGTCAAAATCAGAAGTCTGTGAGAATGTCAGGCTGTCGGGGCACTAATGCTTTGGTAGTGGGAAAGGAAGGTTGTAGAAATCCTTACCAAAAAAATCAGGCTCTCAGTAACAGAGTTAGCAAGCTTTGTCTACATGATTACTGCAAGTGTGTAGAAATCCATATCCAATCAAAATAAATGGCACTGCTGACGAGGGAGGTGGTTTCAGTTTGGGGTTTTATGCATCTGGGTTGTTTCCAGATTCTGGCTATTATGAATATGCTGCTATGAATGGCAAAAATTCTTTAAATTTGTTAAACATTAATGACATGAGCTGCTATCATTTTTTTTTTGCATTTGTGACAGAGTAGAACAGCACTGGCCAAATTAAATCCAATGTATGCAAAGACATAATACACCGTGTTTAAATAGGGTTATCCCAGGAATGTATAGATTGTCTACTATTTTAAAATATGCCTGTGTAAATTAATCATATTAGTAGATTAAGAGAAATAAAGGTCATTTCAACTGATAGAGAATAGACATTTGGCTATATTTGGCAACTAACCTTCCTCATCAGCAGTAGATGAGTGAACAGATTGTGGTTTGTTTATATCAAAAAAAATCTCTTGACAATAAGCAGGAGGGAGCTCTTTAATATACAATAATGGTTGTACAAATAAGCGCATTGTAAATTAAAAATGTGTTTAGCAGCAGTCAGTCCAAAAGAGAGTGATCTAGGCAAGTCACTGTGTAAGTTTGCACAGTCAGGTATCCATCTGCAAAGAGGTACAGAAAAGCATTCTGGGTAATAGTTTCCACCTTATTACATGTGTTCTTCACTTCGGTGGATATATTTTTTAAATCATATCATTTATAGGGTACAGGCTGTATTATAAGTAAACTCTATCTCCATAGATCTGTACACAGTAAAGGATACAATGGGCACCAAAGCATCCCTTTCAGAAGGGACTAGAGAGGTGGCTCAGCTTAAAGAGCTTGCTGCATAAGCAATAGGACAAGGGTTTGAATTCCCACAGCCCATGTGAATGCCAATAGGGCATGGCGGTCTGTCTGTAATTCCAGTCTCAGAAGACAGAGCTGGGCAAAGCCATAGAGCACCCTGGCTAGGCCGGCTAGCCGCGTCAGCAAGATCTGAGCTCACCCGAGAAACTGCCTCAAAGGGAAGGGTGGAAGTACTAAGGATAATTCCTGATATTAGCCTCACACACACACACATATCCACACCACATCCACACAGATAGGTGTACACACACACATATGAAAGCATACATAAACACACACCACACACACACAGAGATATATACAGAGAAGTATACATATACACACACTACACACACACATACATGAGATAAGAAGGAAAGACCCCCAAAAGGTGGCTTTTTTTGTTGAATGTGATTATGCTTGCCTGTAATTTCAGCCCCCAGAAGGCTGAGGCAGGAGAGTCACTATTTTGAGGACTGCCTAGGCTATCTCTAACATGATCCTGACTTTAAAAACAAAAGCAAAAAATAAAATGATTTAATGAACATTCCTCCTTCCGAACTCACTGCAGTGCTTTTGTAGCCTGAATAAGGTCTGAGGTGGAACCCTAAATGTGCTTGCTTTCCCTTATGAATTATTCATAGATGATACAAAATAAACTTTTCAGAAAGTTTCTAACAAGAATCTTGCTTTGAACTTTAAACTCTGTTCAGATATTTACAGGAACTGTGCAGCCATTTGCTGACAATGGCCTTCATTTTCCCTATTGTGGTCGTACTAATATGACTTATTTAAGCAGAGGCTAAGTCCTCACCTCATTATTGAGTGATATTTCATTTGTTGTTTAATAAATAAAGCTTGCCTGAAGACCAGGATAAAAAACAGTCACACTAGTCAGCCGTACAGGCCAGGCAGTGGTGGCACACACCTTTAATCCCAGCAGCCACACTAGTTAGCCATAGGGGCAGTGGTGCATGCCTTTAATCTTAGCAATAGAGAGGACTATAAGGCAGGATGAGAGAGGAACTCACTCTCTCTTTCATTCTGAAGGTTTCATAGAGATACAAGCTCTCTAGTGGCTTGGCTGCTTTGCTTCTCTGATTTTCCGGTTGAACACGTCTCTGGGTTTTTATTATCTGTGCAGCACACGCCAAATCACAAGCTTGCCACTAACCTTTGTTTTCAGTTCTGTACTCTTCTGAAAACTGCCACAAAATGACTATATAGTCGTCTAAAGCTAATGCCGGATTATTCGTAGAGGGCCGTTTGCCATTTCCTTCCCATCTGTGTAGAGATAATGCGCAGAAACAGCCTGTACCAGCCTGGGCCGGGAATAGGAAGTCTGCTCTCATTTTCAGGGTTCTACTGCCCTCTGCTGACCCTACATCCTGAATCCATGGAAACAAAGCCCCTGGTACTCATCTCCTTGCAGAGTCCACATTTGTATCCATGGAAACACAGAATGTGTGGGAACTCTGTGATCTTTGCTAATCCCAAATCAGGCACCTGTGGGGAGATGGATACATGGGAACCCTGCGATCCTTGCTGGTCCGACATAATGGATATGGATGTATGGAACCCATCAGAGCTGGGAGATCCTTGCTGGTTGATGTCCTGCCTCTATGGGGACACGGACTCCATGATGAGATCGCTGCATATAAATAAAGATGCATCTGACACCCCAACCACCTCTTGGTTACCCCTGTCAAGCGATCTTAGCTCATTGTCTATCATGTCCACTAAGGAACAAACATGAATCTGTAAAATTTAGGATTGCATGTATTATTATAGCCTTTACAAAGTGGGAGGTCACTGTCAATATTAGATATGATCAAATACGAGCCCCTTCCAAACTGAGGTTGCCATGAGAAAGATAGTGCAGCAGGTGAGAGCCGCGCTCTGCACCCCCCTGTCTGCGCTCGGTGCGCTGGCACCCAGTTCGCGAGCTTCGGGCAAGGGGCTGGCGGTTAAAATACACAAACACACACAGACAGAGAGACAGCGACACGGGTCATCCTTGAATTCCCCAAGAATACCCCCTTTATTGTGTTCAGGGTCAGATTATATAGAGATAGCCAGCCACGCCCCAGCCAAACCCACCAGAAACCACTCTCCTGCCATCAGGAACTCCTGAAGGTCTCGTGCTCAGAGCAGCTGTAGGCACTCAGATCAGGGGAAAACAAGTTGTTTACAAGAAATTCAGGATCTGGGGTCTCACTGCTCCCAACAGGTGAATGTGTCATGTCTGGGTGTTTAACACCCCCAATTCCATTCTTGGACCCCACATAGCAGAAAGAGAAAACTAATTCCCACAGTGTTCCTCTGATCTCCCCAAAAGGGTTGTGGCATGCATTAACCCTCTCCCCCCCACACAAAATAAACAAATAAATGCAATCAAAATTTTAAGTAGACTATTTTAATATCAATTTATTCCATATATTATTTCCATGGGATAATTAAAATGACAGGCATCGTAGCTGCATATAGCAATGTTTCTTCTTGTGCTTTGGGATGATTTCGTTTGCAGATTCATTCTGGCAAAGAATTTTATTTGCTGAGTCTCACTTTCTCCTTCTCTACTTTGTTGAGTGTGGAATGGACCTCCAGGTGATACCTGGATTCCTGATGACTGGCAATTTAGAGGCCAGTTTCTGATCATCCTCGCTCTATTGGAGATGAGACCAGGAGAGGTGGTGATTTTGGTGAGGCCCTGTCTGAGGACCCTGTTTTTCCCTGCCAGGTTAGGCTAAGCATTTCAAGAGAACTTCCCTGGCTTTGCAGGGTGGTCAGAGCAGTGTCATTGGATTGGACTAAATAGAGAGATGGAGGATGCTACTCCCATGACTGCTGGATTCTTTCTGAGATCTCACCATGTTCAACCCCAGGCCATGGGCCATGTGTGGCCAGAGAGAGCCACCGGTGCCACCCAATACAAAATTGTAACCTTACTTAAACACAAGGGATTTTCCCGCTTTACTTGATCGTCCAGGTCTGACGGGTGAGTTTTGTAGGTGGCATCATCGAGTCACAATGTCTGAAGACTCAAGGCATCCCTCAGGTGGGACAGCTTTCATTCTTGTTGGCTTGGTGTTTGCTGGGCATATCCTGTTACATATCGTTTCTGTACTTTGGGCTAGCGGATTGCCTGTGTTGATTTCTTGGGACAGTTTTTCTTCACCTACCTTATGTTTGTTTCTTCTACTATAGCAGAGCAGCTCCTGCAGGTTATTGCTCCATCGTGTTAGTGGCCAGAGCGTGCACTGACTTTGAGCCCAATTTACTCTTCTTCTTAGTTCATCTCTCCAATACTTGTCTGGTTGCTTCAGTTTTTCACCGAACAAACTTTGTATAATACAATGTCAGAAAATCAGAGTGCAGATCCGAGTCTAACAATGAACAAAATGAGACTGTTAGCCTCAATCCTTAGCTCCCCTATTCAGCAGGG